TGGAGCTGAACAATACCTTGTGCCTTTCTACGGCACTTTTCATCTCTGTCTCAGAGCATCACCTGGCAAAGGCTCCCGCACTGCTCACCCCGGCTGATGCCAGTGCTGGGTGGGCAGGAGCTGGCCCAGGAGAGGCACCAGGGATTTGCAAGCAGGAACCACCAGTGATTCACCTCCCAGGGTTGTAAGGAGCAAATAAAACCTGGTTTTATAGGGGATCTAAGTGAGCTTTAAAGACCAAGAGGCTCAGGATGCCTCTCAAGGCAGTGCTCGTTGCACAGCAGCTGCCCAGGCAGCTTTCTCCTCTGGTTCTGCTCAGCTGCTTTTAAAATAGCCTTCACCTTTCGGCAGCCCAGTGCCTGCCTCCCACCGCAGAGAGGCCCAATTATCCCCTGGCAGGAGCATTTTTCTCCAAGCTGAAATAGAAGGCGGCTGGCTCAACTTCGCCGCTGTCATGGGAAATGATGATCTGTCTGGAACTTTGTCGGTTCTCGAGCCAGCCTGTAAATTTGGGTGATGGGGCTGAGTAATGCTCTGGTATTACCCGTCATGTCTCTGCCCCATCAGCTGGCACCAAGTCAGGCTCTCGGTGCTGCCTGGGGAAAAGCCTCTCTCGTTGGCCCATCAGTGCTTGCACATCGCTTGCGGACGCTGGATGTAACGGGGATGGGAGTGGGGTGCTCAGGGCAGCCCCTCCTGCCTCATCCCGCCTGGAGCCCCAGCTGCTGGGAGCAGGGGGATGCCTTGGTCTGTAAAATCCCACACAGGGGCAAGGTGAGGGCTTGGCTGGTTCAGTAACGCCAATGCTGGGTATTAACAGTGGCTTTGGGTGCAGAATTGGCACCGAACTGTTGGTCGCGTGGGAGGGGTGTGCATGCCCGTGGGGCATATTGACTCCTGCAGTGCTGATGGTCCCGGGCATCCTGACACAGAGGTGGCAGCAAGGGACGGAGCTGCTGGGTCAGCAACAGCTCCTGGAGGAGCTGGCGTAAAAGAGAAGGGACTTTGTCACCTGGAAGTGCTTTTTCGCTGCCTGTTTCTGGCCCCAGCTATGCCTGAGCGGTCACTGGAGCATCCCGCTGCCTCCCAAGCTCTTGCCCGAGCAGGTCTCCAGCGCTTGCCCCAGTCTCCCCAGCCAGGACACATTTCCATCTGGAAGGGTGATCTGGGGATGATACAGATGTTAAGTTCACTTTTTATTAAATAGGAGCATGGAAGAGATTTAAAGGGAAGCCGAAGCGCTGCCATATGAAAGAGATTCTAATTACTGCAGCTAATTACCAAGAATAAATCCCCAGTTGGGAGGGGGAAGAGAAGGAGAAACAGTGTCAAAACTTATGAATAAAATCAAGCAATTACAAATCAAATGAGGAGCTGTCAGCTTCATGGACAGGCTGGTTTATTTAACAACCAGAGCATGTGCGTAGGGAGCCCCTGGGGTCTGCTCAGGGGGGGACGTGGACCTTCTGATGGCATCTCTGATGGCATTGCAGCAGGCAAAGCCTCCTGGAAAGCTTTGGGGTTTTTTTTTTAACCTGTTTTCATCTTCTGGCAGCTGTGAAACCAGGACAGGCGTATCGAAAGAATGATACTGTTCTGGAAATACATTTTCCATATCTAGAAATGGAGCCAGGGGTGATTTTTGTTCCTGAGCTTTGTTCTTAGGAATTCCACTCAGAACTTTCTTTCTGGAGGTTGTTTTCTTTGTTTTCCTCTGGTTTTAATGTTGATGGCGTGAAAACCTTCCCTTGCCAGTGCAGCTGGGGCAGGGGGGGTCTGGCGAGAGGACGGGTGGCCCCTGCCCCGGCGTCCCCTCGCAGCATCCCACTGCCGGCTGGGCGCCTCTCCCTGCCCCAGCATCTTCCCCTGCCGAGGCTCAGCTGCTGGGGGCTCCCGGAGCAGCAATCTGGGCTGTAAATCACAACTGGAGGGAGGTAATAGCGCTGCTCCACTCTTATCTGGGGCTTTATTAGGAAATCGTTAAGCGGCTTTTCCCTCCCGATCCCCTGCTTATCAGCAGCCCAGTAAAATGGCAAATTGCATCCATGATGTGGACAGTCCAGGCAAGAGAAACCCATTTATTTCCCCTAACGGGTTTATCGCTAGATCAAGTTGCTGCTGAAGATGTAAGCACCGGTGGTTATTTCCCCAGGTGATGGATCGAGCTGCCACACAGCCTCCGGTAACCAAAGCATGCCGCCTGACAGCGATGTCTAATGGACCCGTGGTCAGGACTACTGGCTCATGTATTTCAAGGTCCTGCTTTAATTGAGTCCTGTCTCCCTGCTGTCATGCCTTTTTTCTTTTTTTTTTTTTTATTATTATTATTTTTCCCACCTTTAGAAAGGCTTCCCAAAATAAACGAATACACTTAATCTCCTGTCCCCTTCCCTCATCTCTTGCTCCCTTCGGCAAAGCCAGAGCCATAAAAAAAGTTAGCAAATTGAAAATCTGTCCTCGGACTTATTGAGTGAAAAGAGCGGTGAAATCTTTTACTTTTTTTTTCTTCTTTCTTCTTCTATTTTCCACTAGAAAGGACTTGCAGGGGGGGCAAAACCCCCTTTTGAAGCTGCGGGGCTAAGCGTTCCCTTTCTTATCAGCTCAAGCAGCGATGCCCAGTGACACTCGTTGTGGCTCGTTAGCGGAAAGCCATTAAAATTGCGGATCGATATTTTCTCAGGAGAGAGGGCCCATTCAATATTATTCCCCAGGCAAGCAGAGAAATACCAAGTCTCCATCCACAACGCAGAGCAAAACTGCTGAGGATGCAGCTTCTCCTGCCAGCACCCAGGGTGGGGACAGGACGTGCGCCAGCCTGGGAGCTGAGCCAGGATCCGGCCCTCAGCATCCAGGTCATCGGAAAAGGGGAAAAATGAAAGGGTGGGAGGATGGGGGGGGACGACTGTTTTGAGGAAGTTAGGTGCCTCTGTGGAGCTGGACCCCCAGCCAGGAATCCTGAGTGCAGGTGCCACCGCTGCCTGCAAAGGGCTTTGGGAGGGCAAAAATATCTGAATAAGGTGGCCATTGCCAACACCTGGCTCCTGGCTTTGGAAAGCCAGGAGGAAAGGGGCTGGCGGGGTGTGCAGCTCCTCTCCTCGCTGTCTC